CGGCGGCGGCGGCGGCGGCAGCGGCAGGTACTGTGAGCCCAGCCGGTACCTCCGGAGTTAAACTCCTCCCCTGCCGGCCCGCAGCCCGGGGACTTAGGACAAAACGGGCAGGACGCGGGGGCGGAGTAACTCTTGGCGAGGAAGGGAGAGGGTGGTGGCCCGGGGATAGGGACCCTACTTTTTCCACCCCTCTAGGAGGGCGTCTGTCCCCGGTAGCGGACATTGGGGATATCAGTCTGCTGCCCTGCCCTGAACCCCAAGAGACTTGGTATTTGGAAAGATCATTTTTTCCAAACCCATTCCAAGAGCCAGAAAAGGACGTCTTCCTTATTGCAGCCTCTCCCCACACCCCAAAGTCCACTTCCTCTCTGCAAGACTTGCTTCTGGGCTGAGGGAAGTTCTTCTAAGTGTCTAGCTTGTACTCCTTTTGTTATCATGTCAGTTTCCTCTTCTACTTTACTCAGAGGGGCTGAGATAGCCCTCCTCCCTTCCCCCCAGTACTTCTCAGTCCAGTTGCTGTGACAGCAAACTTTTGACTGGAGCCCTGGGCTGAAAAGGCTTCTAGAGGCCAGGCCGGATTCTGGGGCTGGGGTTAGGGATAAGCCTCGTGAGAAGCTGGGGAATGAGGTGGGAAAGGCCTCCCTGGAGGCTGACCCTCTCTGTTCTTCACTACTGCCCTCCCTGTGATTCAGGGAGTCACAGGCTGGGACATGGGGCTCCTCTGCCAGCAGGGTCTCTGGCTCGCTCTGGTCTCTGCAAACCTCCAGGGCAAGAAGAAAGAAAAAGACCCTCATCTGAGATTCTCAAAGGTGGGGCCCATCCCCCACACCCCATATCTCCATGTTTTCTTCCTGGAATTGCAGGGCCTCTTTAGTCCTTAGAAAAAAAAAATCAAAGGTCAGATCTTAGCACCCCCTCAAGAGGCTGTGAGATTGAGGAGGTACCCCAGCATTTACAGTGGTCCCAGCCTGGGCTGGGCCCAGGGGGCACGATGGGTGGGCCCTCTGCTCTGGCCCTCGAGGCACCAGCTTGGTCTCTGGCTGCAGCCCCCAGCACGCACCCAGCCTCCTCCCCCACCATCTGCCAGGCGGGTGCGCGGGGAATGCAGATGAATCTTAATATCAGCCTGGGCCAAGTGCGATGAGGGAGACAGATTCTGCAGAACCCAGACAGCATCACAGAGCCCCCTGCCTTCCCCAGGCACCTGGGTGGTACAGGATGCAGCAGCCCTTCCTTGGTGGTGGTGGTGGTGGTGGTGGTGGCGGGGTGCCTGTCGAGTCAAAGACCCCCGCCCCCGACTAAGCCAGGAGAGGAAGGAACAGATAAATCCTGGCCTGGCCTCTGAACCTCTGGTCCGGCTGGGAGGAGGAGGCTGTTGGCCGGAGCGTGGGCAGCTGTTTCCGGTGCTCGGCTAGGCAGAGGCATAGCTGGGCCCACTCCTTGGTCATCTCCAGAAGGTCCTGTGCCCAGGAGAGCAGGGTGACCCAGCAGAAAGAGCACAGGTTTTCAGGCCAGACAGTCCTGGATTCCACTCCAGGCTTGGCTGTGTGACCTTGGGCAGGTTGCTTTAGTTCTCTGATGCCCGTTTCCTGGTCTGTTGCTACAAGGACTAAATGAGACAGAATGTGCAAACAAAGCAGAGGCACAAGGGCTGCTGGGCAGGCATGGCATGCAATAAAGGGAAGCTTGCTTTTCTCCTTCCCACACATTTGCTCTGGCTGCGCCTCCTGCCAGGCTTGCCCTCACTGCCCTCTCGGCCCTTCCTGGCTCTCACTTCCTTCAAGTTTCCCCTCCGCATTCATCCATCAACCACTGGCCAAGCCTGTCCTCGGTGCCAGGCACCAGGCCAGGGGCTGGGATACAGAGATGAATGGGACACCATCCCTGCCCTCAAGGATCTCACTGGATAGTGCAGAACTGAGACATGAAAACCAATGATTATAACTCAGTGTGGTGAGTGGCATCACAGATCCCTCTACCAGGTACTATGGATGCACCAAGGACCATGGAGGCAGGAGTAGAGAGGGATGGCTTCCTGGAGGAGGTGATGCCCGAGTTGTAAAGACTGAAGGGTCAAAGATCTGGAGGCTAGAACTGGGAGCAGTTTGATGTTACTGGAAATCAGAGGAGAGGGGAGGAAGTTGGAGCCAGAAGCGGGGACCAGCTGATAGAAGGTCTTCAGTGCGGGTCAATGGGTTAGGACCTTGAAGATTCTCTGAAAGGTTTTAAGGAGGCTGGTGATTATAGTCAGATTTGCATTTTAGAAAGCTTTTGGAGAATTCACTTGAAAGAGGAAAGAACCAGTTAGGGGATAACTGCAGTGGTCTGGAGTGAGGAGGGGGAGACTGAAAACATCTTTAGGAGGCAAATCAGGATTTAGTTGTTGCTGAAAGAAGGGAGGAAGGGAGAAAGGGAGTCAAGTGTGATAGCCAAGTTTCTGGCTTGGGCCGTAGGCAGGATGCTCGCTGTGATGGGTGCTATAGGTGGCAGGGGGGAAGAGAGTGGGCTCCAGGGAGAGAGTGGTGGGGGTCAGCTTTGGTCACTCAAATCTGTGTGCTGTTAACCAACCAAGAGCAGAAGAAAGTCTCGTCTGGGGTACTGGAGGTGTGGATATACAAAAAAGAGTAAGGGGCTTGGATGGAGGAGCCCTGGGCACCCTGGCATTTAAGAGGTGGCCAGAGGAAAAGCAGCCCCAAAGGATTCCAGATAGGAACCGGTAGCCAGGGGCAAGGAGGGTGGGTGGGGTGGTCCTGGAAGCAGCAGGAGCAATGGAGCTCTTACTCCTGTGTGCACCCGGCAGAGGTTACTGTACAATGCAGACACTAGGGTCCCACCCCAGGGTCGGCAGATGGGAGCCCAGTGCCATGTATTTTTGCACTATCCCAGGTAACTCTGATGTTTGTGGTCTCTGGACTTCCCTTTGACAAACTGGTGTGTGTGGAGTGTCAGGAAAGAAGGAATGAACAGCAGCTCAAAGGAGCAGAGCAGCCTGGCCAAGTGGCGACATAAAAGTGACCACTGGGTTTGGCAAAGATTCTTTGTGCAACTATACCCAACCTTGGTCCTTCCAGCTGCTCCCAGGATGGGAAGAGAGACCACAGACTCAGTAAACTCTGTGCACAGCTGTGCTGGAGGTAACCCCAGGTGTGTCTGCCCTTCAGGCTCTCCTTTCTGTATCCCCACCCCCCTACTGGACTAGACCCTGCGCACGGCAGATGCTCAATGAAGGGGGAGAACTCAATGCCGTAGCCCCTCCCCTCAGCCCCCAGCCTCCTTGGTGCCCACGCACACCCTGGATGTGGGTTGGCTGGCCGTTTGCTTGGCACCTCTGATGCTTTCACCTGCCTCAGTCTCATATTGGAAGAACCCTATCTGTCTCCCTCCCCTCCTCCCTGCCTCCCCAGTGCTGCAGGAAAGAAAACAACACAGGGGTGCCTAGGTTCCTATTCGACTGAATAGGAAATGGGGTTCTGGCTGGTCTGAAAGGCAGAGAGCAGGTGCCCTTGAGCCAGGTAGGGTGGAGAGGTCGGGGGAGAGGCAGGAATAGATCATCATTGCTAGTAATCTCTCATGTTTACCTGGGCATTTGCCACTTTTAAATGTTATGGTAGAATGCTATGTATCTGGGACTAGGGGAGCCCAGAGGGAAACCCTAATTCTAAAGAGGGGGCCAAGGACGAATCCTGGAGAAGTTAGTCTTGTGATGTACGGATCAGCCCAGGTGGGAGGGGAAGGAAAGAACCTTCCAGGCAGAGGAAGCAACTCATGCAAAGGCCGGAGATGAAAGAAAGCCTGGGAATGGGGTTCTGATGAGAACAAGATGAAAGACTCATTTGTTCCACAAATAGTTATCAGATGTCTACTTTTATGTCGGGTCCCTGTCTGGGTGTGGGGGTACAGCTGGTGAACGAGGGATGGCAGTCCTTATTCGCGTGGAGAACTGGGGCTCTGGGAAAGATGGGATTAAATGGCTAAGCATATGCAAACACAAAATCTTGAGATGTTGGCAGGTGGTATGAAGGAAGAAGAGCCAGTTCTGAGTGAAAGAGAAACTAAGGAGAGGTCCTGGGTTACCTGGAAGGGGTCAGGGAGAGCTCTGTGAGATGTGACGTTTCAGCTGGGGTCTGAAGGCTGAAGGCCTCGGTCAGCCATGGCGCTGGGGGAGGGGCCTTCCAGGCAGAGGGAGCAGCCACGCTAAGACCCAGACACTTTGAAGAAACTGCAGGCAGGGAGGGTAGTGGTGGGCAGGGGACGCAGAGAGCCGGAAAGATAGCCCAGGGCTTTATGGGTCTAGTTTTATGGGTCTAGGTTTGGGGCTTCATCATGTGATTAAGATTTTTTTTTTGTACAATTTTATTTATTTATTTATGGGGGGGGTAGGTTTGTTTGTTTGTTTATTAATGGAAGTACCGGGGATTGAACCCAGGACATTGTGCATTCTAAGCATGCACTCTACCACTGAGCTATACCCTCCCCCTGATTAAGATGTTTTTATTTTTGTTTTTTATTGCAAGTTTTTAATTTACAAGTTTTGAATAGGGGGCAGATTTGCACTTTAGGACAATTACTAGGAAGATCACTCGAGTGGCAGGAGATTTAAGAGAGTGGGTAAAACGGGAGGCTGGGAAGTGATGGTGGCCTGAATTAAGGCAGAAACCCTAGGGATGGGAAGGAGGGGATGGCCTCAAAAGATGTTCAAGGAGTGGAATGGAAAGGAGTTAGACTCTAGGACTGGGTTGAAGCATCAAAGATGACCCCCAGCTTTCCAGTCTGGGGGACAGAGGACAGAGGGCAGTTCGGCAGGCAGAGACACAGCACCCGGTCCTGGACAGGTGGAGTTAGGTGTCTCACGTGCTCAGGTGCAGTGAGAGCTGGGGGCAGAGTAGGGGTCAGATGGAGACAGGACTGGGAAGTGTGGGAGGCTCAGGGGTTACCAGAGGTGAGAGTATGAGGAGCTTGCAAAGGACAGAGCACAGCGAGAGTGCAAAATGGGGCGGCCAGGGCCAGTCATGTAGGGAGGAATGACGGGAGAGAGAGGGGAAGAGGGCAGGGGACGGAGTCCCACTCAAGTCCCACACCATGCCTGCCTCCCGCCTCAGGCTTTGAGGACTCATTTTGTCAACATCCCTGCCTCTCAAAGGACTCTCCAGCCAGAAGGGACCTCACTCTGGCTGTAAAGGCTCCCATACGTGCTCTTGCAAAGTGGAAAAGGGGAGGACGTGGAGCCCAGGAGCCCTGGGTTAGGGGGCTGGCTCTGAGGTCTGCTGTCTGGGTAATCTTGGGGGAACCTCTTGTCTTCTTTGGGGCTCAGCTGCCCGTCTGTAAAGGGGGACCACACTGCCCCTCCATGGGGTGAGGACTGGGTGAGTGTGAGGACATCTGGCTCTCCTCTGGACACATAATACACCTTGGACTTTTGTCTGCATTGAGCTGGTGGGAAATGCTTTGTGAACAGCGAAGCACTTGAACAAAAGACTGGCCAAGCTTATGCCGGCTACCTGTCAGTATCTTCCCAGGTGAGAGGCGAGGGGGAGAAAACAGGGCCTGAGCTGGACCGCTGGACTGCAGGGCACCTGGCAGGGAGCGCCCAGCTGGCACCAGGTCATCTGTCTTCCACCTGTCGGCTGGACCCAGGTCGCCGTGGTCCACGCCGACTCCCGCTGGGGCGATGGAGACGGCGCGGGCATGTCGTGAGGGACGCGAGTGGGGTCAGCGCGCCGCCTGCTGGGCACTTGCGGCGCCGCCGGTGGGCGCGGCGCCCCGCGAGGAAGGCGAGGCCGCCCCCGCCCCCGCTGCCCCCTCTCTGCTG